AGAGTGTGAAAAAAATTTCTGCCTTTCACTGGAATTAAGTTAGTATTTTTCAGAGTAGATGGTAACCCCCCACCCTCAGAAACAAAATAGTCAAAGAAAATTAGGAGAGGAGATAAATTGATACAGTAAAAAATATTTAAAAGAAGGCACTAAAGGAGGAACAAAAATGGTGTATATAGAGAGAATGAGTAACAAAATGTCAAACATGATCTGCWACATCAATAATTACACTCAAAGTGAATGTGTGAACATGCTCACAAAAGGCAGTATTAACAGGGATATAAAGTAAGATTCAGCTGTCTTCTATGTACAAGATACATTTTAAATCCAAAGACACACAAGTAGGGCTAAAGAAAAAGGACAGGAAAAGATAACCCATGCAAACAGTAACCATAAGAACTGGAGTAACTGTCTTAAATATCAATAGAACTGGCATTAAAGCAAGAGAATTACTAGAGATTGACAGATGTTTCATAATAATAACAGGGTCAACACATAGGGAACTGGAGCCATTACAAATGCATATGCACTACTAATAGCCTCAAAATAACAACAAAATATGAATTAATTAGAAGGAAAGATAGAAAATTCAGTATTAATACATGAAGGCTTCAGACCTCATTCTTGATAATTGATAAAAAATTATCAAGGATATAGAAGATTCAAATAATGTTATTAAACAGTTATAACTGCCATATATAAAAACATTATCCCCAGCACCTGCAGAATATATGTTCTTATTAAGTGCATATAAAATAGTCTCCAAGATGGATCATATAGGTTATAGAACAGGTTTCGTTTTGTTTTGTTTTGTTTCATTTTGTTTCTTTATTTTCTTTCTCACCAGGGATTGAACCCAGGGACATTTACCACTGAGTCACATCCTCAGCCATTTTTATTTTAAGACAAGGTCTTGCTAAGTTGCTTAGGTCCTTGCTAAATTGCAGAGGCTAGCCTTGAATTTGTAATCTTCCTGCTTCAGCCTCCTGAGCCACTGGGATTACATGCATGAGCCACTGGGCCCAGCAGTTTCAATATTTTTAAATGGATTGAAATCATACATTGTACTCTGAACACAGCAGAGTTAAGTTAGAAATCAACAACAGAAAGAGATCTGCTAAATTCACAGATAATTGGAAATTAAATARTGTACTTTTAATATCTTATGAGTCAAAGAAAAAATTCCAGGAAAAGCTATAAGATGGGAATAGCTGAATGAAACTTAAAATACAGTATGTCAGAATTTTTGGAGTGCAGCTAAATCAGTTAATGAGGAAAGTTTATGGCTTTAAATACCTACCTCAGAAAAAAAGAAATCAAAATTTAAGCTTAAATCTTAAGAAACAGTAAAAAGCAACTATAAAAAGCAAAGTAAATCTTGGGATGGGGATGTGGCTCAAGCGGTAACGCGCTTGCCTGGCATGCATGGGGCGCTGGGTTCGATCCTCAGCACCACATAAAAATAAAACAAAGATGTTGTGTCCACCAAAAACTGAAAAATAAATATTTTTAAAAAATCTCTCTCTTCTCTCTCTCTCTCTCTCTCTCTCTCTCTCTTTCAAAAAAAAAAAAAAAGCAAAGTAAATCTAAAGAGAACAAAGGAAGCAGAAATCAGTAAAACTGAAAAATGAGAGAAAAAATCAAGGAAATTAAAAGTTGGTTCTTGGGGCTGGGGATGTGGCTCAAGCGGTAGCGCGCTAGTCTGGCATGCATGCGGCCCGGGTTTGATCCTCAGCACCACATACCAACAAAGATGTTGTGTCCGCCAAAAACTAAAAAATAAATATTAAAAAAATATTCTCTCTCTCTCTCTCTCTTAAAAAGAAAAAAAAGTTGGTTCTTTTTTTAATGAATTAATGATTATACACTAGCCAATATTTATTAAATACTATGAGTCTAAGTACAACTATTTAGACATTTAATCTTCCTAGCTATGATATAGATAGATAGCTATTTATAAATTAGAAATTTTTAAAATAATATTTTTATTGATGCAGTGTAATTATACACTATACATTGGAATTCATTACACCATATTCATACATGCATAATTGGACAATCTCATACCTCAGTACTTGCCTTTCATTTCCCTCCTCTTCCCCAATTTGCTTGTTGTACTATACTGATCTTCCTTCTATTTTTATTTTTTAGTTAGTGCTTGATAATTATTTAAACAGGCAGGACTCATAATGATATGTTCATACATGGACCCCAGTACTTCCCAGTACCCCCCTCTCAATCCCCTTCCTCTACTCTATTGAGTCTTCCTTCTGTTTTCATTAGATCACTTTTTAAAAATTGTTTCCTTCCCCGTACCTCCCCCTCTCTGGTTTCCACATAGGAGAGAACACATTTGACCTTTGACTTTTTTTTTTTTTTTTTTTTGAGTCTGGCTTATTTTGCTTAGCATTATGTTCTTCACTTCTATCCAGCAAATGACAATTTAATTTTTCTTCATGGCTGAATAAAACTCCATCGTGTATACATACCACATTTTCTTTATCTGTTGATCTGTTGACATGTACCTCTGCTGTTCCCACAAGTTGGTTCTTTGAAAAGATCAGCAAAATTGGGAAACTTCAGTTGACTAGACTATACATGAAAAGCAAAGAACCTAGAGCACTCAGAACAATAAAGAGAAGAACAAAGTTGGAGGACTTAAACTAGCTGATTTCCACACCAACAGTAATCAAGACAAATACATGTTTTTAAGAAATGATGCTGGAAAATTAAATATTCACATGCTAAAACCAAAATGAATTCGCACCTTTACTTCATACCATATGCAAAAATTGACACAAAGTAGTTCATAGACCTATTTATAAGAGCTAAAACTATAAAAATTATAGAAGAAAATAAAAAATCTTATGACCTTCCTTGGGTTAAACAAAAGTTAATTATATATGATACCAAAAGCATGATCCATAAAAGGAAAATTTTATAAAATAGACTTTATTAAAATTAAAAACTTGCACACTTCAAAAGACCATTAAGAAAGTGAAAAGTCACAGGGAGAAAATATTTGCAAATCATGTACTTGTATTCAGAATATATAAAGAACTCTTTTTTAAAATTTGTTCTAATTAGTTATATGATGCAAAATCACACCARTTGCRCAATCATACATGTACATAGAGAATAATGCCTGATTCATTTCACAATCTTTCCCCTCCAACCCCTCTTTCCCTCCCCTCACTCCCTTCTGCCCAATCCAAATTTCAAAGTTCCTTCATTCTTCATGAGCGCCCCCAGCCATTATGGATCAGCACCCACATATATATCAGGAAAAACACTCAGTCTTTGGTTTTTGGGGATTGGCTTATATTTTGCTTAGCCTGATATTCTCCAGCTCCATCCATTTCCCTGCAAATGTCATAATTTCATTCTTAGAAAATATAAAGAACTGTTGAAACCCAATAAGACTATGGCATTTGCAGGTGTGACTTATCATTATGTACA